TATATATATGGAAGCCCATTTCTGCTATGGGAAAAAAAAAAAAAAAATGTTGCGCACTTTTTATCTCACATTGTTGATTCTTTTCCTCGCAATAAGTTTATATCTCACAACAACTTTTTTTCTCACAATATGATAGAATTGAGAGAAGAAAAGTCTGAATTTTGGGATATAAACTCAAAATTACAAGAAAAAAGTCAGAATTGCAAGATAGTAACTCAGAATTCTTATTTTCTTTCTTGCAATTCCAAATTTACATCACACAATTCTGTTGTTGTTTTTTTCCCTCCATGGAATAAAAAATTATATATATAATTGCGACTTTTTATCTCACAATTCCAGTCTTCTCAGAATTGAGATTATATTGCAATTCTGAATTTGTATCTTGCAATTGCGAGTTTATATCTCATAATTCTGACTTTTCTTCTCGGAACTGACACTTATATTCTGAATATAAATGCAGAATTGCAATTTTAAAAAAATGTCTGATTTGTGGGATAAGTCGCACTTTTTATTATTATTTTTTTTTTATTATTTTTTTTTTTTTAGCTTCATGATCACTGTGTAATGGTGATATTAAACATGATTTTACTGCTGCGCTCCGCATGAAACTCAAGCTCAAAAGAGATTAACCTAAAAAAAAATGCATTCTTTTTCCTCCACAAAGACAAGCAGCCCTTGCAGGTCAAGGACGTGTCATGCACAAGGAAATAATGCTCCAGTTTAATAGCTAAGCACCTTCATAATATTGAGGATTATATCCTATTACATTTCAACCTCATGGTCGAAGCAGAGCTCATAGAGAAAGGGGTCAAATCTATTTTGAAGAAGTGTTTGGCACCACGGGACGTCATTCTGGATACGTGACAGAGAATCGGTCTCTTTATCTCTCTCGTCTGTCGCATTCATTCGAGATCTTGCATTGCATTAATCTTAATGAAGCTCTACGTGGACCGCGTCTCGCTGGTGCAGATACGAGGTGTCCTTGGCAGTGCGGGCAGCAGTCACTCACTTTATTATGCTAACTTTCCTCCATTGTGGCTCTTATCTGGAGATGGCCACTGATGCTCAATGACCTTCCCCAAGTCCTAAATCAGATTGCAGAGTATAGCATCAAAAAAACACTCACTAACCCCATCAGCTGGAGAGAGCCGTGTCGTGGCTCTTCTGTTAAAGCATGGCAAGAATCACCAAATTGAAATAAAGCTGTGAAATTGTAATATTTTCTGGGCAGCCAAAGGTTTGAGGAGCCCCTCAGAGCCTCCATCTCAAGGATCAGCAATTTCATCCATTTTAACCTTGTGTTTAAAGGCATTTTTACCCTAAAATGAAAATTCTGTCATCATTTATTCACTCTCATGCAGTTCCAGACCCATACAGTGAGAGGGAATCATGACCACCACAGCTCTCCCCGGTAACCATCCCCTTTATTCAGAAAATGAAGACGCTACAGGGAAGTATGTTTTTCACTCAAAAATCAGTTTTTGCTTTCAGGCTCTGTAATATTCATATTATAATGTTATTTCAGTCACTGTTTTTAACAGGCATTTATTCTAAATGAGTGTTTCAGCATTTTGCCACATGAAACATGTGCTTCTTTCATTAACTTAAATTGCGATGTCGGCCTTTTGAAAAACATTTGGTATTTCTGAAAATC